CCTAGCTGCAGCAAGCCCTAGCTGCAGCAAACCCTAGCTGAGGCAAACCCTAGCTGCAGCAAACCCTAGCTCAGCAAACCCTAGCTGCAGCAAACCCTAGCTGCAGCAAACCCTAGCTGCAGCAAGCCCTAGCTGCAGCAAACCCTAGCTGAGGCAAACCCTAGCTGCAGCAAACCCTAGCTCAGCAAACCCTAGTTGCAGCAAGCCCTAGCTGCAGCGAACCCTAGCTGCAGCAAACCCTAGCTGCAGCAAACCCTAGCTGCAGCAAACCCCTCCTTAGCTGCTGCAGCAAACCCTAGCTACTTTAGCTGCTGCAGCGCGCGCGGCAGCAGCAGCTGCTTGCCGGAACCCCTCTAGCCCTTCAAACGCCGCAGCAGCAACTGCTGCTGCAGCACTTGCAGCAGCGGGCACTCAGTTGCTGCTGCTGCTGCTGCTGCTGCTGCTGCTGCTGCTGCTGCTGCTGCAACTAGTTCCTCGCTGCTGCTGGACGCAGCCCCCGTGCTGCTCAGCAGCTAGCTGCTGCTGCTGCTAGCTGCAGTGCTGCAGACAGGAGAAACAGCTGCGCTGCAGCAGCAGCTTGCTGCTGCTGCTTCTGCGTTGGCTTCAGCGCAGCAGCAGCAGCAGCAGCAGCTAGCTGCTCTCGCGCTGCCCCGCTGAAGCTAACGCAGCAGCAGCAGCAGCAACAGCAGCAGCAACTGCTGCAGCAGCAGAGGCAGCAGCGCAGCGTTAGTTAGGGCGTTACAGATAGCAGCACTTAGGGCTTAGGGTCCAAGCTATTACAGGGTTTAGGGTTTAGGGTTTAGGGTTTAGGGTTTGTGTTGTGCTTAGCCATATCCAAGATTGAGGGTTTGGACAACTGCACTTTGCTGCGAACTCTGTGAGCATAACCCTAAACCCTAAACCCTAAACCCTAAACCCCAAGACATGAGGCCTTGGCTTCCAAAAGTACTAAACCCTAAACCCTAGCAAAGCAAGGGTTTACTGTTTAGCTGCCTCTGCAGACCTGTATGAAGACCCTTTAACGCTACCTAGGGTTTAGGGTTTAGGGTTTAGGGTTTAGGGTTTAGGGTTTACCGGCGAGGTTGATACCTAACGCCATCGGCTGCGTCCTTTGCTGCTGTTGCTGCTGCTGCTGCCACTGCTGCTGCTGCTTCTGCCTCTACTGCTACTGAGGCTGCTGCTTCTGCTGCTGCTGCTGCTGCTGCTGCTGCTGCTGCTGCTGCTGCTGCTGCTGCTGCTGCTGCTGCTGCTGCTAGGTGTTTGAACGAAAACTGCATCCGGTCAATATCTGGACTTTCGCCGCTGAAGGACTTGAGGGTTTTGAACCTCAGCAACAACTTCATCAACGACTTGTCCGGCCTAGGTAGGGTTTAGGGTTTAGGGTTTAGGGTTTAGGGTTTAGGGTTTAGGGTTTCAAGGTTTACGGAACCGGAAAGGGCAGAAGAGAAACAAGGAAACGCGATTCCTGTAAATGCGGGCTTTTCGGGACAGCATTTAGGGTTTAGTGTTTAGGGTTTAGGGTTTAGGGTTTAGGCTTCAGGGTTTAGGGTTTAGGGTTTAGGGTTTAGGGTTTAGCTTTTGGGGGGTTTAGAGCGAGAAAACCCAAACAGCGTAAAAAACCCAGCCCGTGGCTGCTTTTTTATTTCTTTTTTAATTCTTTTTAATTCTTTTTTAATTCTTTTTAATTCTTTTTAATTCTTTTTAATTCTTTTTAATTCTTTTTAATTCTTTTAATTTTAATTTCTTTTTTCTTTTTTAATTTCCTTAAATCCATTTTACTTTTATTCTCAGAGGGCTGCTGCCCGCTGCTGGAGACGCTGCACTTGGGCTCGAACCAACTGGAGGACTCGCAGCTAAACCCTATTTTAGGGTTTAGGGTTTTGGCGGTTTTGGACCTCAGCAACAACAGAATTCAAAACGAAGAAAGCATAATGGCCTTCAAACAAATCAAACAACTCAAAGTCCTCTATATGCAAAGAAACCCCGTTGTCAGGCCCAAACCCTAAACCCTAAACCCTAAACCCTAAACCCTAGATAGTGCGCTCTGGGGCGCAAACCCTAAACCCCAAACCCCAGACGCGGGGATTTCTCAAGAAGCAAAAGAGCTGCAAATAAAGACAGCTATAAATAAAGAAAGGAACATTTGCATAAATGCATTGCTGCTGCTGCTGCTGAACATGTTGCTGTTGCTGCTGCTGCTGCTGCTGCTGCTGCTGCTGCTGAACACGCTGCTGTTGCTGCTGCTACTGCTGCTGCTGAACATGCTGGCGCTGCTGAAAATACTGCTGGTGCTGCTGAAAACACTGCTGCTGCTGCTGCTGCTGCTGCTGCTGCTGCTGCTGCTGCTGCTGCTGCTGCTGCTG